AAATCTTTTGCTTACGATTCATTCTATAATGCTAGACAATGTTCAGACTGCTACCCCTTTCATCTAGCACAAGGAAATCTATAGAATATGTAAGGATATTGATTTGGACTGCTATCTTAGAAGAATGATATTCTTGCATCATCTACATCTTAAAGAAGATATATGGACATGAGGAAGTACTTTGTGAAGGATCTTCCCCAATGCAGATAAACCTCCAGATATGTATACCAACTTTGATAATTCTCAGTAAAAACCACAAAGGTAAAATGTTAGTCCAGTGTATTGGGATTGTAAAGGGTTGCTGTGATCAAGCCAAAAGCTGTATTAGTTACATCTTCATGGCAGTCAAAACTCCAAAAATGTTTATTCTAAGGCTGGTGTACATAGTTCGTCTTTAATTTCTGTTCAGTCATTCCTACAAATCTGCAATAAAACTCCTACTAACCTACCATCTGTACACTTTTTTCCAGTTCCTGAGGAATTGCAAAGGTAGATGATGGTGCCTGGGTCAAAGGCCATGCTCCAGCCTAGGGAGGGAAATTATTATTTTTTACATCACCACCAAAATAAATTACGTCATTCTAAAAAAGCACATAAAGCAGCTATCATCCTTTTTTTTTAAAAGCAAACAAAGATCCAATTATAATAAGAGAACTAGAGCAGTGAATAATCCTATTTGGAATTATAAAGCATAGAAATCCATGGAAAGCTAAATAAAGGAAAATCTCCTTGGTTGACCACGATTTCTTATGAATTCTTGAACATATCTATATCTATATTGCAGCAAAACGCTGCAAAAAGACAAACTTTAAAAGAAAAAGCAGACTTTAGTAGATAATAATTAAAATAGCAGAAAAGGCACAGGCTCTTCAGCGCCTTTTCCTGGCAAAGTGACATGTGTTCAGGAAACTATCATACTATTCCTGAACAGGAAAATTATGTTCACTTCCCTACTACCCGCTAAAAGATTTTGATTTTATTACTTTACTTTTCTCACCAGGTTGTTCAACCAGTCACTAACATAAAGCATATAACAAAGCTTCCCATCTTGATAAAAGCAATCATGGACAATATGAAAACCAAGCACTACTCCTGGTTCCTTCCAAGCATGTCATAAACATGTTTCAAGAGGTTTTGGGGTGCTGGTGTCTGTGAAGACTTCTTTTTGCAGCATCCCATCATATTCTTGCAGAATTGCCTGTGACTCATCTGTAGAGATGCTACTGCATTAACACTTCTGTGAAAAATGTTTTGTGTTAATGGGGATGTTGTATAAATTTTTTTTTTTAAATCTATAGAAAGAAATTTGGATTTCTTTACAAAATATTTAGGATTTACATTCAATGAATGCTTGCTCTGCCTTGTATGTAAATCCAGGAATCAAAATTTAATCTAATCAAAATGAGGCCCATACAAAAGTTATCAATTAATGTTTATAGATGCTGACAAAATGCCTTAGAAAAAAAAAATAAACTAAAGACTGAAAGGGAAAAAAATAATTCTAAGACTTATTTTGTTTAGTGGCCATGAAAAGTTGAAGTTGAAAGCAAGCTACCCTAAAAGGTAGACCAGACCAAGAAACAGATATTATGCAGACCTAAAACTGCTGTTATTAGAGCAGTAGAAGCACAGAAATCTTGCAAGCACAGCTGGCTCACCACATAGGATAATTGGGATTTGAATTTCCATTGCTAAGCAATGCTGCCATTTTGAACATGGTCACACCTGATTTATGTTTTTCCCATGGTTATTAAATGAATCACCATGATCATTAAAGTGAATCCAGCTTTTCCCATTGACTTTGCTTACTGGATTCAGGTTGGGAAATCCCATATTGAAAAATCACCTGACATCAGGACACTGCAACTGTTGTAAATATGTGCTGGTTGTCAATCCTCCTAATTCTGATCCCATGGTTTTGGGGATACTGTGACAGTCACCAGTGTGAGGCCCAGTCATCACTTTTTTTCAGTGCCATCATGACTTCAAACAAGCACTCAATGAATGTTCATTAGTTGAGGACTATTTCTATGAACGTGCTTCCCCTCCTCCCCTTTTTATTGTCATGAGAATTAAGGTGGGGGGAACTATCTAAGGCAGTGGTTCTCAACCTGTGGGTCGGGACCCCTTTGGGGGTCAAATGACCCTTTCACAGGAGTTGCCTAAGACCACCGGAAAACACGTATTTTCGATGGTCTTAGGAACCAAGACACCAATTTTATGGTTGGAGGTCACCACAACATGAGGAACTGTATTAAAGGGTCAAGGCATTGGGAAGGTTGAGAACCACTGATCTAAGGTGTCTTCATAAACTATTTTCTTGATCTGGACTCAAGTCCTGTTTACTGATAACTGCCTTGCCAGTGAATCTTCTCTCCATCCTTCTATAGCATTCTTTATACTCACTATAGTATCTGAAAGCCAGATGCAGCAGAAGTACCTCTTATACTTGTTCTTGTGCCATCAACATTACACACTAAATGTGGACACATACAAATGAAAACACAAATAGATACATTTCCTTTTCAAATACCTGAAGAACGTATATCTGAAAACTAATTCCCAAATCTACGATGGTGTCTTGATTTTTTATGAAGTTGTTGAATTTGTTGTTAAGATCGGCACTAACACTCATGTCTGTATACATTCGATGGAGTTTGCTAGTGAACTCATAACCACAGGCTTGCTGTAAAACAAAAGAACACACACATGTCAAATTTGTAGTTTGACTTAATCCTTACACTGAAAAAGGTATAAGGATAAAATGAATAAATAACCTATAACACCATAGCCGACATATTTGCTAGAGGTATTTACCTAAAAAGCATATGTGTTAAAAGACAAATGCTTTTGAAAGAAGCTACTTCTGTTTTATGGAGAATGAGGACCTTAGAAAAATGTAGTATGGTGTTAAATGTGATTCAGTAAATATTCTACAAGCATGTCAATTTTTTATCTTTAAGAGCAATAAATCTAACCATAGCTGTTATTTTTAAAAGTCAGAAGGCAACCTGAAAGCAACAAGTTTAAGAAGCACTGCTGTACATCATATTGATATTGAATAATTTAAAAAAGAAACGCTACTACAGGTAATCCTTGGTTTATGACCATAATGGAGCCTACTCATTATAGTCGTAAGTTGTAACAGTCATAAAGCAGGCCATTATATAACTTTTTTGTGGTGGTTGGGAAGCAACCTCGAGAGTTGTAAGACCATTGTTTGCTGTGGGCCATTTTCGCCGAAAACAGCCATAAATGTGGCCCACTGTCAAAAATCTGACATCCAGTGAAGTGACCACAGGGGCAATTGTCAGAATGGAGTCATAAATAATTTGGGGATGGGCTGTCATAACTTCAATGACTACTTGTATTCAGCCAGTATTCATGAAAGCTAACTAGATACCAAATACAACCAGTACTAAGCTAGATAGTGTCTGTTATTCTACAGCAGCTTCTTTGTTCTCATGTTAGGAACAGTTTCAAACCTTTTCTTATTGTTCTATAAGTAGTGTAAACAAGTAAACAAGTGCATATTGCAAACAAGAATAAAAACTATGAAGAGCAATTCCCATCAATTCCAAATTAGGTAGAACCAATTTACAGGAGATTCTGGTGAGATCTGTGTACTACACATAATAAAAGTTCTATGAAGAACATCTCCCAGTTAATTGAAGGGTGTTTTTTTTTGCACACAACTTTAAATCAGGAATTGTGATTTTTCTAACTTGTGTAATCTTAGCACCACCTGCAGGTTCTTTTCTTAATATGCAATTTTCAGCAAGTTGAGTCTCAGTGCAATTTTCTAGCTGGAAAACAACTAGAATCTATTAATTGTATTAGATATAATTATATTAGCAGCCTGAAAAAAAGTTCACCATCTTGTTAAAAATTGACTTGCAATCAGGTTAGTAACTGTTTAAAACATGAATAAATTTAAGCACCAAGAAGAGTTGGGTTTATTGTACTGATAAATTACTGTTTACCTTCAATTTGTTAATCATAGCTTCTTCTGAGTCCATGGACATCGATAAACCATGTATAAGCCTTTTTGCCAACATTCTGGCATAGAACTACAGTTAAAAAAAAACAGGAGTTCAGATTTCCTTGCATAACAAAAGTATTCTTTAAAGGGAAAAGTAAAAGCATACTGATCTTCTGATTTACCTTTTGAAAAACATCTTTGTCATCAATGTACTTGAAAACTGTAATGAAGCTTGTTAGTTTGTCTTCCACTTCGTTTTCTGTCATGCCTTTTGCTGATTTTTTTAGCAAATTGTCACAATATTTGGCCAACTCAAGTTAAGGAACAAAAAGAATAGTCATTAAGGCAAAAGGAAATCATTATAATGACAACTAACTAATGGTAAGCAACTTAAGTGAAGCAATCAGATGCAGCACACTGAAGAGATTTATCGAAGTTAAAGGAAATTGTATTTATTTATATATTAGTTCTTCAAGCTTACATGCAACTTCATTTGCAAAAAGGTTCTACAGATTGAGAACAGAATATTTCCTAGAAAAACCAAGTTTTAATGGCTTTACTAATCCCCACAGGACCAGTGTTGACCTGAACTCAAAAGGGATGCTTTCCCATAGAAATGGGATACCAATGGAAAAGACCGGATCATCCCTTGTGGATACATTTTTTTTTAGAAATTGAACCTGAATAGTTCTTTCAGTTCAGACCTTGTTGGATGAACAGATACTGTTGGAAACATAATTGTGAAGATACTTGAGTCCTAAGTTTGTAGGACTTCAAAGTGACAACCAGAATTTGATCTGCACCCCAAAGACATCTGGTATTGCAGTGCAATTCCCACAATACAACTGTGATCCAGACAAACCAAACTATGTCCATAACAATTCTGCCCACCATTTTGAAAGTTTTCATTATTTGTTTCCTTGCAAAAAAAAAACCTACAAAATTATTACCTGTATTCTACACTTACACTAAAGCACATAAAACTAGTATTTGACACTTACCAGCTCAGGAGCTTTGCAGATAGACTTTGGTTCCCTATAGTTCACTACTGATGTTAAAGCCTAATTAGGAGCACAAGAAAAATAACTTTAATAAGGTATGCAAACGTCATAGCACTGACCACACATATGTAAATAATACCTCTGAGAATAAATTCCCAACCAATTGCTGACATGGGAGAACTGGGGTAATGCTGTGATTAGGGAAGCTGTATTATGAATAGAGAAATTCTTATTTGATACTCATGGAATTTCTCTTAATGACTCTGAATCGATCACTACATCTCAGTCTATTCTCTTCCCCAAATCCTATGTATTATAATCTACAATGATGACATGGGCACCAATGTATTAACTGCTTATTAAATTTTAACACTGCACTTGGAAACTGAAACTGACTTGTAAATATCATGTGCTGCATTATTTACAAAAAAATTAGAAGATAAAAGATAGGCTGGATTATGGGCTTTAATTACGTCAGTGCATACAATAGGACAAGGATACAGAATGTCCCCTAGATTTAATATTTTATGGACAAATGCAATGGCAATAGAGGCTTCATTGGTTTGGTACAGGGATACATGTATATTTGTGTGCAGATGTTGTTGCATTACTAGCTATGAAGCCAAATGTTCTGCACAATTGTTACACAGATTGCATGATATAATAAAGCATATTGATCTGAAAATTAATATAAGGGCAAATTGGAGTAGAATTCTGCAAATAAATGTGGCAAAACTAAAAGAGGAATTTGTCAACCTTAAGAGTATGTTTAATAAAAATAGAGGGAGAAACATATGTATATGTGTAATTTTGTCAATTAAAATTTTGAATCAAGAATAATGGTGTCATTAAATTAAAAATGGCATGCTCACTAATTACTACTTTTGCTCTAGGGAAAACTACTATTTAATGGACAATTTGTCCCAGCAACCAATGTTGCTCCTTTCCTCCCAATAATGTTTACCTCAGAAATATGTTCATCTCCCTTAATTTAAATATGTTAATCTTCCTTTTCTGGACTGATGATTGGCTTATGCAAAGAACCATCTTGGGTGATTCAACTTGGGAGATGTTTTCCAAACCCCATTTAGTAAAGACATCATTAGAATTGGGGGGAGGAAAGGGGAAGCATTTTCTAAAATAATAATATTATGCCTAAGAACTCAGTGATAATCTATTCTTCCTGCTTCTTGAGAGATGCAACTATGTACCTCTTCTTTGCATTACTAAATTAAAGAAGTTGCAGAAATCAGATGTCTTTAATGATATCTGTTTCTTTTATAGGCCACACTTTGCTAGGATGATGAAGGTATTTGGAATTTCCTTATCCCTTGGAGCTTTACATATGGTTCGTTAGTCAAGACTCATCTGTTAACCAGAGTGATATCTACAAATAAGTGACTTCATTTTCATCCTGTGATCAGTTATTGCCTAATTGTTTCCTTATGAGTTGGAAAGTTTAACATTTATGGTTTCATACATGAGAGTGCAGCTTCCAAGATTGCTAAAATCTGTCAATCCATTTTCAGAGGACCTTAGTGATTTTAACCAGGTAGCCAAGCTGTTCATGCGTTTGGAGTAGGTTTTATCTTCTTTTGTAGTGTGTGATTAAATGGAGGTAAAAATAGGCCAAAACAAATAAATTCTTATGCAAGTATTCAACTGTTTCTAAGCTTTGCTCTTCCTCTTGAAAGCACATGTTAAAAAGTACAGCCATATATTCTTTGGCTTAAAAAATAAATCACACAATTGGGATGTCTGCCTATACAAAACAAATTCCGTAGCTTACATTTTCTCCTGATGGACACTAAAAACAGGGGACAGGATGGAGAAATTTTAAGAGACAGCAGAGCAATGGGTTTTCCCCCCCACACTTTAAGGTGTGTGGATTTCAATTCCCAGAATTTTTCAGATTCTGTATCCGTATGTCTTAAAGTTTCTAGGTTTGAAAATATTGTTGTATAGGGCAATATATGCATATAAGGAAAAACAGATTGTGAACAAAACAAAAAAAGAGGAGGAGGAGGAGGGGGTGGGGAGAATGGCAACTTAATTCTCCCCTCTCTTTAATCCTGAGGTAGTGGGGGGAACATTGGAGAAAACATAAAATGAAACTGATAGCAGGGAGAATGGGTCAGGAAATCTATTTGGTAAAATAAAGAGAGTCAGAAAGGGGCATAAAAACAATACAATAGAACGAATGAAAAGGATTTGAACTGCAAAAAAAGTATACGAAGAAAGAGAGAATGAGTTAAGAGGGAAGGGAAGTCAGATAAACATTGTGACTGGATGGAATTAAAGAGATTTCCCCCAGAAAAGAATCCTGTGAAAAGAACAAAGAAGACAGGAACTTGTGGGATCCAAAGCCAAAAGAGTGATTCAGTGATACATGTCTACTCCTTCTTAAAGAAACCACAACTTTCTGCCACCTGCAGGACACTCATGCAGTTCCAGGAAAATACCAATTTGAATAAAAGAGTGAGGGACAGAGGGGTGACAATCGTACTCTGTAAGGGCTACCTTAACTCAAACATTGAGAGATGCAGCAAGCATATCCATCCAAAGAATCTTTTTATGTTTCAGAATCCAATAGCTGCAAAGTATGGAGAGGTATCAAACAAGGAGATTTTGCAAGGGATAGGAAATAAAGTGGAATTAAGTACACTATAGTACACTTCTTTTTTTCTCAAAAAAATCTATCTGTTTCGTTGCTTTTCTATTTTTTAATGATTTCCCAAGTTTTGTAAAACACTTAAGTTAGCCTGCAAATTAAGGACTGTTTTGAGGCATCTTTTAAAAGACTCACTCAAAGGAAAGGGATTTGGTATGAATAATAAAAAAGGGTAAGGTCTGTTTCATCTTAAGCTGAGGATTCAGTGTAACTATCCACATATTTTTCTTTGCAACAATGTGAAAAGGGTTTGACGCTGCTCCTTCTGATTTTTCTTTTAAACCACATCTTAGCCTTGCCAACCATGATGGCATTCCATGGTGGCTTTCCTGTCCAATTTCTACCCAGGCAACCCTTCTTAGCTTCCAAATAGCATTAATTTCCATGCATTTGCTCTAAATCTGTTGACTTCTAGAGTGAACCCTATGTTCATCACTACATGGTCTGTGTAGTATTTTCATTGAACTCACCTTATCAAGGGCACTCATAAAACGCTGATCGCCATTCAAAACAGTATTTATGAGCTGAACAAATTTACTATGTACTTCCAACACTGATTCTACAAACTGAGTGGGCATCTGAAGACAAAATCAGACAGAATAATAAAAAACCAGCAGTTCTGCAACAATTCTTGGCAAAATAATTTTGATACAAAGAAAATTAAGAACACAACTTAAACTCATATCCTGTTAAAAGTATGACTCTGTAAAAAAAACCAAAAATAATTCTCAGAATATATTTGCTGTCATCATTTTACAATGCTGTAACTTGGGTTTTCGAATTTTATTTCACAATGTACAATTGCACGATGTTTTGCAAGTCAACTGCCTCAATTCCCAGTTCATTGACCCTCCCAAGTTAAAATGCAATTCATCTAAAGGGAAGCGTGATGGTTATTACTGCTAAGAAACACTGCCCAAATTTGATAAATGGGTTGCTAATTCTTCATGGGAAAAAAACAAACTGACAGTACAATTCAAAATCTGTATTTTCTTGTGTTGGCAGATATATGAATATTATATATTTTCATTTAAGAATCTTCGTGATTGCCAGAATTCAGGTTTAGCGAAGATAATTGGGAGGCATATAAACTCAGGCAGGGGCGTGACTATATTTACCTATGCTTTGTACTTTGGTTTATAGTGCTGACATATCTTTGTATATTATATTTATAAGCAACCTTCCAAATGTGATGGGCTATAGATTTAGGTCAAGGTGATCGAAGTTGGAATATGGAGTCCTTTATGCTGTCTGAAGTTGTTTGCTTTCAGCTGTTTCATTACCCAACTAGATAATGTCATCAGGATGGGCGAGTGTGGGGTTTGCTCCCTGTTTTTCTATAGTCGCTTGCCTTGCCTATGTTGGTGGAAATATGGCTTTCACTTTGGTAGCTCCTTGATTAAGGTATTGTGATATAAGCTGTTTAGATTAAGTGGGACAAAAAACCCTACTAAATGAGCTAATTCTACTTTATTATAAAGTTACCTTAGCAGAATTTTGCAAGCCTAAAGGCATACATTTTAACCATTTGAACAATTAGGGAAAATTCTTCCTAGGTTTCTTCTTCTGACTGTTAATTCATTAAGGGCTCTTTTCTCATTGTTTCCTAGATGTCCCCAAGATCATCCACACATTCCATTACACATGCAGAAGCTTGAAAACAGAAAACAATACCCTAATCGAGGAACCACCAAGAAGAAAGCCACACTCTCACTTACACTGGCAGGGTAAGCTACTGTTAAAAAGCAGAGAACAAATCTCACTCTCACTAGCACTGGTGATGTTATCTAGTTGGGTAATGAAATGTCCGCAAGCAAATAATCAAGTTCAGAGGGCACCAAAGACTCCATAGTTCCACCCTGAGCTATACATGTTTTCTTCTATAAAATAGAAAGCTTAATGCATTTCAAACTTACCAGTATGAGAGGACTTTTTTAAATACCCAGGGTTAAAGATCCTCTTAGGTTGAACTTCACTGATATTTAAATTCATGTGTCTGTGCTATTTTTGTGACCACAAAAGAGAAATAATTTACTGTTACTGTCTCAGTTTTGCCTACAGACTTGGGATTTCTTTGTTGTCTTTTGTTCAAATACTAGGTCTGTTTTTAACCTCAGCCAAGGTTGAATGCATGAGCTAAAACACAGGTAGTCCTCGATTATGCTCACAATTGAGCCAAAAATTAATGCTGCAAAGTGAGATGTTAGTTAAGTGAGTTTTGTCCCATTTTACAATCTGTCTTGCCAGTTTGTCATTAAGTGAATTGCTGCAATTGTTAACTTAGTAACACAGTTGTAACATGAATTGACTTCCCCATTGACTTTGCTTGTCAGGTGGTTTCAAAAGGTGATCACATGACCCTGGGACATTGCAACTGTCATAATATAAGTCAGTTGCCAAGCCTCTGAATCTTGATCACATGACCATGGGGGAAATGCTACAATTATTGCAAATGTGAAAAATGGTCATAAGTCACATTTTTTCAGTGTTGTAATTTTAAATGGTCATTAAATGAATGGTTGTAAGTCAAGGACTTTTGTCTGCAATGAAATTAACAATATGGTCTATCTGTTTACCAAACTATAAAAACTTAAGATATAGCAAACGGACAGTCACAAGCAACGTCTTTATATTTTGAGGTATCAAATCATTTTCTTCTGCTGAAGAAGAAAAACTTACATTTTCCTGAGAAAGATTGCTAGTTGCCCTAAGGCCCTCATCATGGATATGGTTTTGTAGTTCCTGAATCATATGAGGTAAGCCACTTGGCACAGCATGAAGCAGTGTGTACATGTTTGCCATATCTGTGTAAAGAAAGAACTTGATTTTCAGGATAGGCATTTCCCCCCCAAAAAAACCAATACTCTCAAATGCTAATGTATAATATAAACAGCACGATGTCTTCAGAAACCATCATTCCTTCCTAAGACATTAAAAGGAAAGAGAGTGAAGATGTATGTTGACCTTTGCGCTCTACTTCAAATCAAGAACCCTGCTTTATAAAATCACCTTGTATGGGCTGTTGTTGACCGATGTCATTGGGTAAACAGACTAGAAGCCCTGGTGATGCAATGGTTACAACTATTGCAAGCTAACTTTGCCCATAACCAGGAGTTTGATCCTGACTGGCATGAGACTAATTCAACCTTCCATCCTTCAGAGGTGGTTAAAATGAGGACACAGATTGCTGGGGACCATAAACTGACTTTGCAAACCTCTCAAAGAGTGCTATAAAGCACAATAGAGCAGTACGAAAGTCTAAATGCTATTGCTATACTATTTAGCATTGGATATGATAGAAGGTTAAATCATAATTAGTTTTAAACCAGGTTTAATAAAAGGAATAGAGATATCCATACACTTTCTTTGAAACTCTTGACCCTAATCCACACTTATTCTATATTGTAGTCTCACAGATTAATGGCCATCTTTCTTACATCTGATTCACTTTGGTTAGAAGGAAAAGTACTTTTGAACACATGTATTGCTTTTAATAGGTGTTCAAACTTTTATCCCATAGGACACTTTTTACCATTTCTCTTCTCTTGTCTGATGATGTTATGACATTCTGCATGAAGAAATTGTAAGTGATCTGCTACCATTCGCTGTTGGCATTCATTAATTACTTTGCCGTAGGAACTGGGGTGTAGATACTTTCGACATCTTACTTCTTCATCTTTTAGCCTACATAAAACCTAAAAGTAATTTTCCACATTAAGAACACAATTAAATAGTAAGAGCCTAAAAGTAAAAGAGAGTATCGTGTTTCCCAGAAAATACGACATGTCCTGATAGTAAGCCCATGCCATATTTTTTTAGTGGGCAAAAATGTAAGCCCTCCCCTGCAAATAAGCTCCCTAGACAACACTCCATCTCCGGCCAGGCAGAGTGCCGCTCACCAACTTAGCGGTATCCCGAAGGTGCCAAGCCACGGGAACTGGGGGAGGGAGGCAAAGGTGATTGTGTTGCTTGGCACCTTCGGGATACCGCTAGGTCGATGAGCAGTACTGTGCCCAGCTGAAGAGGGGGTTGCCGGGCGGCTGCTCTCTTGCAAGCGGGCTCCCAAAGAGCCGGGCACATCCTTATGGGCGAATGGCTGTGTTGCGCTGTCACAACAGCGCAACACAACTGTCATGAAGCGGCCATGCTCACAAGCAGCCACCCGGCAAACCCCCTTTCCAGCTGGGCACAACACCATTCACAGACTTACGGGTATCGGCAAGCCGTGTGAGCACCTGTTCGCCGCCGCCCTGCTCCCGCGGCTTGGCACCTTCAAAATGCCAATGAATGGCACTCTGCACGGCTGGAGAGGGGGGTTGCGCGAGCAGCTGTTCTGCTGTTGCTCACGCACCTCCCAGCCTCACGGTGCCCTGGCCCAGCTCTCCCTGCAGAGCCAGGGCACCTCCCCTGCCGCCGCATGGTTTTTGCAGCAGCTTCTAAACCGAGTATTCTGGCAGTAGCTGCTCTGGGCGTACGCTCTATGGTTGTGGGTCAGCTGCCGGCAGAGCTTACAACAATAGAGCAGCCACTGCTGGAAGATTTGGTTTGAAAACCACCCAAAAAGTCATGTGGAGGCAGCGGCAACAGAGGTACTCTGGCTCTGGCGGGAGAGCTGGGCCAGGGCATCGTGAGGCTGGGAGGTGCGTGAGCGAGAGTGGAACAGCCACTCATGCTACTACCCTCTCCAGCCATGCAGAGCGCCATTCACTGGCATTTCGAAGGCGTCAAGGCAATTTGAAGGCACAGGAGGCAGGTGGTGGCAAACAAGCGCTCACGCGGCTTGCCAATACCCCTAGGTCAGTGAATAGTGCTGTGCTCGGCTGGAAAGGGTGTTTGCCGGGTGGCTGCTCGTGATCGTGATCATTTCATGGCTGCTGTGCTGCGCTGCTGTGACAGCGCAACACAGCCATTCTTTGTGTCCAGCTTTTGGGAGCCCACTCACAAGAGAGCAGCCACCAGGCAACCCCAAAACAATAAACCCTCCCCTCATAATAAGGCCCAAGCCATATTTTGTGAGTAAAAAGAAAATACAACCCTGTCTTATTTTCGGGAAAACACGGTATATATTTTCAAGTTATCAGGGCCAATTCAACACTAAGGCAAATATAAAACGTTCATTTTTCAAACTACGTCTAAACATGCCTAATCATTTTGTGATGTTATTACAAAGGAAAAACATTTTAGAAAAAAACTAGAAGAATAGGTTAGGATGAGCTGAAGTGCCAAGTAAGACACTTCCAAGAATTTAAGAAAGAACAAGCAAAACTGATAAGATTGTAATGCTGTAATGGAACTTTTGCAAACAAATATCCCTAAGATTTCAATCTCAAAATATTTATCAGGACTGTCTCTTATGAAGGTCTTTTTAGAGACTTGTTGGCTGCTGGCTTATTTTCTTGTTTAACAAACAAGAAAATAAAGCAGGATGATCCGGAATCCCATACTGATATAAGTTATCCTGGCTAGTATTAACTATAATTATGTTCTATTTTTAATTAATGCTTCACACCAATGGCATCATTCTGAGCATTTACATCTTGCTTACTGTTTTATATAAAATATACACAGTTGAAAGTAGTCAAATTACAAAATATCAGTAAATAAATATGTATCAGGATAATTACAAGCAGCATAGAGCAAGCCCTGGTCACCACCTCCATGTAATTCACCTGTGTGAATTACTGTAACTCATGGGCTGCCTTTGCCGTGTATCCAGAAGTTTTATCTGATATACGGTATCATGTGGGCAGTTATTTGTGTACGAACTGCTCCACGAGTTTTGCATCACTGTTCTCCATATAGAGCAGCGATAGCAAACCTTTTTGACACCAAGTGGTAAAAAGGGAGTGTGCGCACACGCTCATCTAGGTCGCAACCCAGAAGAGGAGCTGCCCATGGAGTATTTGCACGCCAAAAAATGAACTTCCAGTTTCCGGCGCGCATATATATGCCAGCTAGCTAGTCTTTTAGTTACTGGTGCGTATGCGTGCGTGGTGATCAGCTACCCTGCACGCTATGCTCACACTGGAAAATGGAAGACCAGCTCTTTCATTTTCCGGCATGGCCGAGCGCATGAAGGCCAGCTGATTGTTGAGTGAACATACACACCAGAAACCCAGAAGAAGAATGGGCAATGCCGCACATGCCAGGCGACATGGCTCTGTGTGCTATTTTGGGCACGTGTGCCATAGGTTCGCCTTCATGGATATAGAATGTCACTGGTAGGACTCAGAAAGAGACCTTTTCTGCCGCAGTGCCTGTCCACTGGAACAACATCCCCACCTGAGGTGAGACTGGCCACAATCTAGTTGGCTTTCCAGAACAGCCTGAAGACATAGTTTTGCCATCTGGCCTGAGGATGCAGTGATATTGTTGGAGAGCCTGCTAAGTGATTATATTGTGAGGAAAATGAGGCTGAATAAATAAATAAATAAATAAATAAATAAATAAATAAATAAATAAATAAATAAATAAATCAGTTTGATCTTGACCGATTCGAGATAGACTCAGCCTTCGATCCTTCGAAGATCGTTAAAATGAGGACCTGGATTGTTGGGGGCAGTATGCTGATTCTGTAAACCACTTAAGAGAGGGCTGTACAAAGTGGTATATAAGTCTAAGTGATATTGCTATTGATTTCAATGAAATATATATTATTTGCAACTGGATGTCTTTTATTTCTCTCAGCATCTTATTCTATCTAATTTAGTGTTGATTTGTGACATAGAACTGTGATGGCGAACCTATGACACACATGTCATGGGTGGCACACAGAGCCCTCTCTGTGGGCATGCCAGCCGTCACCTCACGCTAGCTTCACCGTGAATGTGCCTCCCGCTGGTCTTCAGGTCTCTGCTGCACATGCGCAGGAGATAGGGTGCATATCAGGGGGGGTGGGTGGCGCTCACATTGCATTTTTGGCTTTGTGTGTGTTCCTCCTGCATCCCATCTTGTATCTGGAAGGCCTCCTGCACCAATCTGGAAGCCAAAATTGGATGGGGGGGCACATGCGTGGAGGCACATGTGAATGCACAGGTGGCAGGCACATCCACGGGGGTGAATGCACGGGGACGAGGTTCATGCGCAGGGTGCATGCACGGGCTGGGATGCATGCACAAAAGGCACTCTCATTGTATCCAAAAAGGTTAGCCATCACTGACATAGAACCTAATTTACAGACCACATCGCAAATAGAGTAATTATACAACTTGACTACAGCTTATTTTTTTTAAAATAACAACAACAACAACAACAACAATAATAATAATGTTTTTGGAAACAAGAACAAATGCTTTCTCTAATTTCGCCTTCACATGACTTTGGATATATACATAATCCTCACTTACTGACCACTCATTCGGCAATTGTACGAAGTTACAACAGCACTGAAAAATGAGATATCGACTGATCCTTGAATTTTTGGTCATTGCAGCATCCTTGCAGAAATGTGATTGCAATTTTGATACTTGACAAAAGGCAAACATTTACAACGGTTGCAGGTTACACGTTCTCTTGTTTATGACCTTCACGGACAGTTTCCAATGAAGTCAATGGGGAAACTGGCAGGAAGTCACAAGTCAGTCACCCATGCTCAATGAGCCATAATGATTTATTTAATGACTAAAGTCCTGTTATCATGCAATATCACACTTATTGACCATGTCTTAAGCAATGGAGTTGCCAGTCTCTATTGTAATCACTATGTGAGGACTATCTGTATGTACATGAATCAGCTGAAAATGCATTTTAGATGCATGATGAGGAATGTTAGCAAAACGGAATTTTGATTTTTTTTCTCCCCTGAACCATTAACCCTCATGACACAGATGACTTTGACACCACAATTGCCTCTGAAATTCTTGGAAAGCAGTTTGTTCCAAAATACATGGAACAATGAATAAATATGATAATCTTACCTTTCCCATATACTGTGAACAGTTTGATTCTTGCATTAAATTTGAAGCTTCTTGTTTATAATACTCCCCCGTTTCATTC